CGGCTCGAACTATCCAAGCCGATGATGCTGCCGCTCGTCGGGGACTTCGATCTGCGGCCCAGGCCCCCGGCGAACTCCTTGCGGGAGAGCGCCTCGCCGAGAAGCCCTGCCCCAACATGGCCGCCCCCCCTGCCGCCGCGCCCTCGCGGTGGGGCGCCTCGCCAAGAAGCCCCGCCACCTCCGCGGCCGCCGCCTCCTCCGCCGCCGCCCTGATCACGCGCCCCCGCCCCGTGCCGCCCCGGGCCCAGAGGCAGCTGCGGGGGCGGGGGGGCTGCGGTGGACCTCGGCGCCATCTGACACTGCGCTCGCTGCGGCTTGCCGCAGCGACGTACTTGGATGTCCGCGATGAAGAATTGCGTCGGGCCCTCCAGGCCGCAGGCGCCCGGCGCCCGCAGCCAGGGCGCCGCGCCGCGGGGCGAGGTGCGCGCAAACCGAACATTGTCCCAGGTCGCGTTCTTTACGCCCGTCAGCTCCAGCATCTTTTCCCCCGCCATCCGCATCTCCTCGCGCCGCCTACCCCGACGCTCGTGCCACGGGTCGAATCATCTCGGGCGGCCGAGCGTAGTCTGCCTCATCGTTCAGTTTGAGGAGATACTCTGCCGTCTTCAGCTGCTTGTCGAAGTGATCCTGACTGTGGAGGCACGACCAAGCTCAGGACTCCCGCTCGGCGTCCTGAGGCCACTGTGCAAACGTTGTGGCGCGCCTCGGCCTGGCCTCCAACTTGCGGCATTTTTTTTGTGCGTGCGTGCGTGCGTGCGTGCGTGCGTGCGTGCGTGCGTGCGTGCGTGCGTGTGTGCGTGCGTGCGTGCGTGCGTGCGTGCGTGCGTGCGTGTGTGTGTGTGTGTGTGTGTGTGTGTGTGTGTGTGTGTGTGTGTGTGTGTGTGTGTGTGTGTGTGTGTGTGTGTGTGTGTGTGCGTGTGTGCGTGCGTGTGTGCGTGCGTGCGTGCGTGCGTGCGTGCGTGCGTGCGTGCGTGCGTGCGTGCGTGCGTGCGTGCGTGCGTGCGTGCGTGCGTGCGTGCGTGCGTGCGTGCGTGCGTGCGTGCGTGCGTGCGTGCGTGCGTGCGTGCGTGCGTGCGTGCGTGCGTGCGTGCGTGCGTGCGCGCGTGCGTGCGTGCGTGCGCGCGTGGGGGGGGGGGGGGGGGGGGCGGGGGAGTTGCCCATGTCCGCCCCGGAGGTCTTGGGGAAGTCGACGCAATTCGAGCAGTAGTCCAGTTTATGCGCACGGTCTTCCGCCCCGCTGAAAGGCCGCGCATGCGCGCGCGATAGGGTTCGCGAGGTTCGTCGGAAGCTGAACGGGGGCAAGAGCGGCTGCGATTTCTGACCGATGGATCGCAGCTCGTGGAAGACGCCCTTGCCGAGCAACCGCGGGCAGAGCGCGGCCGCCAAGCTGTCGCAGCCTCTCGCCATGAAGACAAGTTGCTCCTCGACCCTGCCGATGCTCGCCAGCGTGCCCTTGGCCGCCGCCCTGGAATCCTCCGAGCGCGCGTTGGCGCGGCCGAGCTCCTTCGCCAACTTCTGCAGGCCTGCGCTGAGCTCCTCCGTCGGCATCGTGGACGCTCCTGCGCGCCATTCCCTGGCGCGGGCCACCGACTCCACGAAGGACGACAGGTCGGGGGCTTTCCAAGGCGACGTCGAACTCGCCTGGTCGGAGGCGGAGACAGCCCCAGCGCCCGCTCGCGGGGTTGGCCGATAGGCGGGAGGTCGCTGCCCGAATCCCCCGCGCTCGAGGCCTGGCAGGCACTCGATGGGGGAGGCAGCGGGGGCAGTTTAGCTTGGCGGCCGCCGCCTCGCGGTTCATGCGGGCCCCCCCCCATCGACAGCAGATGCGTCCCCCCTGCTCCACAGCGCCGCGCGCCCGAGAGCACGTGCCCCGGGGATTGCCCCTGCAGCGACCTCGACCTCGCCCGCTGCACCGCCGTGCATCGCGTCGGCGGAGTCGATGAGCTCGACCAACAACTCGTGAGGGGCCGTGCCGCTGTCCGCGGCCGCGGCGCCCCTCGCCTCCTCGTCCGAGTAGCCGTCCGCCCTCTTGGCCAAGTGGCCCGTCGCGACGGTGAACGGATCGCTCCTCCGCTGAGCCTCGTCATGGGCGCGCGCCTTCTTGAGCTTCTCTTCGAGGTGTCCTCCCTTCGCCGCCCTCCTACGTGGGGTCGTGGTCGTCCGCCTCCCGGGGTGGTGCTGGTTCTTGTGTTTGCCCACGTCCGCCGCCGGCGCCGGGCTCGGGCTGCCCCTTGATAGTTGGACAGCCCTAGCGCCACTCGTGCCCGCCAGCAGATCACAGGCGGCTAGGCGCAGATGAACTCGCCCAATAGCTGCGGGCGCGGCGCTGGCAGCGCGCCGCCCTGGGCGGAGAAGACGGCGCGCAGCCCGGCGGCCTCAGCGCCCGCCCTGGGGCCGTCCACCGCGGAGTCCTTGGACGGGGCGATGAGACGAGCGGGGAGGCTGTAGTCGGCCTCCCATCCAGCCCCAACATCCGCCAGGGGGTCTCGAACTTGCATCGGCCAGCACGAGTCTGCCCGGTCCTCGGCCGCCGGGCTACCCTGGCGGACCGCTGCGGGAGGACGGTCCTCCATCACCTTTCTCGGCCCGAGCTTCGCGCTGAAGTTGCCGCCCGCCCCCGCCGGCCGATGCGCGGTGGACCGGCTGCGCCGGGGCGCCGAGCGATCAGCAGCATGAAACGCGCACAGTGGGAATCCATCATTCTTCGTCGTCTTCTCGTGGGAGCAGTGGGTTCGGGCGCGCGTCCTTGGCGCCGCCTGAGCTTCGTGCGCCTGCGCGTGGAAGGGGCGCGCCCTGAAGCTGCGCGTGCCGTCAGACGACTCTGGCGACTGCCGCAAATCCGAGATCGCCGCACCCTCGACGATCATCATCACGGGCTCCGCCCTCGCCGAGTTCTTGCAACCCTTCGGGCGCAAGATCTGAGTGGCGCCCTTGGCAACTTGGACGGGTGGGCGATCCGGTCCGCCTCGCAGACGTCTCCACGCAGGGCTCCGACTCCGTCTTCGAGTTGGGATCCATGACCTCTGCGCCCTTGGACCCGCTACTGGGACGGGGGTGCCTCAAGCGCCTCCTGGCGCAACGCCTGCAGGCTTCCTTCACCATCCTCGTGACGCCTCGTCACGTCCAGGAGCAGCACTCCCGACTGCCTGCGCGCGCCCTGCTCGATGGAGAGAAAGAGAGAGAGAGAGAGAGAGAGAGAGAGAGAGAGAGAGAGAGAGGGAGCGTCGCCGGGTCCGCCATGTTGTTGGTTGTTTGTGATCCGCCACGCACGAAGAGTAGATGCGCACGATCCCCTTGCCGTTGTTGGGCGGCGCGCAGGGGGCGGTGGCGCACAAGTGCACCATGCCGACTCCATCCTCGTCTCTGGTGTCGTCCACGCTGTCTTGAGATGCCGGTGCGAGTTGCCCAACGCGTCCTTGCTGCCGTAGACGCAGTCGTGTCGAATGACTCTGCTTCTCTTGAGCGGTCCTCGCTCAAGCCGAGCCACGGAGCCCTCAGACCTGACCAGGAGTTTCTTAGGCATAATCTTCTTCGCACCTCCTCATCTGACTCTAACCTCGAACGTCACGTACTTCTCCGTGAAGAGCTCAGACTCCTCGGGCCCGTGCCAGACCAGCGCCGCGTTGGGTTTGCCCTCGAGGGTTACACGTACGTCATGACTGGCCCGTCTTGCTACCTCGCGCAGGGCCTCGCACGGTGGTGCTGACATAGGTTCAATAAGGGGAGAGGGTCCTCAGAAACCGGGCCACGAAGCTGATCGCAGAGCCTAGCACAGCCACGATGTCCGTCACCAGCAGGCCCATCGCGATCTGCTGCAGTTTGACCCAGTGGGCCCCGAACAAGTGCCGCCCCATGGCGTCGACCAGGCCCATCACGAAAGACATCAGCTGATTCAGCAAAGCTCCCTGCGCATGCCCAACTCGTTCGCCGAGCCACTTCCAGGCTGCCTCCACCCACGCGTTGACCCAGGCCATGCCTCGCTCTCCTCTCGGCTGCATCCCTGGGTCAGCCTTGGATTATTGAGGCCCCTGAGCCTCTCCTGGCGCGCTCGCGCTCCGCCTCCTGCACCTGCCTTCTCCGCGCTCTTCTTTTCCGGCCTCTGGGGTTCCTCGCCGGCGCCGTCGTGCTTCTTCGACATCGGCTCTAATGATGGCCCAGGTGACGACTCCCTCGGGCTCGGCTGATCGGTACGCTGGGCATTGCCCCTTGGCGTCACCGAGCCGCTGACATGCAGATTGTCCGAGCAATGCGTAGCACATGCAATAGTGCTCAACATGCTCGAAGTGGACGGATGCCTGTCGCTCTGCCTCCTCAGCATCTCGCGGGCCCTCTTGGCCCTCGGGGCGCCCTCCGAGATCGGCAATGGCTGGCGGCGAGTCCGTTGCCGAAGGCCCGACCAGGAGAGGCTTCGCTGCATCATCCGGCCGCGCAGCTTCCGAAGGCGGCGAGGGTGTTGTCAGCGCCTGACCCATCTCCTCTCAAGCGCAGGTCGGCTCCGCCTGCGCCTCCGTTTTCTGCGAGGCGTCTCTCCTCCTCCTTGTGGCCCTCCCCTGTGCCAGGGGTGAACGATGCAGGCGCTGTAAAGCCGGCGTAAACGCCGACACCCAGCGAGGCGTCCAGCCCAGGACGGCCACCACCGCGGTCGCCACGGTGCATTCCAGGGAGTAGACGTGGCGCATCGCGGCGAGCTATGGCCCTGGCCGCTCACCCCAGGAAGAGTCTGGCCTCTGAGAGGCCTGGAACCAGAGAGCGATGGACAGAGAAGGGAGCGAGAGCACAGAACAGAAGCGGAGAAGCTACGCCAGATGAGAAAGCCCTTTGTTCTCACGATCGTCCACGAGGAGGTCAGGGGAAGGGACGGAGGAGGGATGTGGAAGAGAAGAAGACGGAGGGGAGAGCGAGGAGGAGGAGGAGCAGGAGCAGGAGGAGGAGGATGTGCTGGGAGGGGGTCTGGCGCTTGCAGGCAGCGCGTCGCCCGCGGGCGCCCGAGGCTTTAATACGCCTCTCTGGTGGTGCACTCCGCCCTCGTGGTGGGACCTCGCCTTTCGGCCGCGAGAGTCCGGGAGGGGAAACGAGTGTCCACGGCACGCCGCCGTTGGAAGCCCGTCAGCGTGTTGCGCTCCGGAGCTTTGGGATTGCAGGTCGCTCCGCCAGTTCTGGCCCACCAGGCTTCGGCGGGGCACGCTGTGCATCTCCTCGTCCCCGAGCCTCTCGCCCCTCGGAGCGGAGCGACACGCTATCCGCTCGCAAGGCATAGCGAGTCGCCAGGGCCGCCGCAGCGACATGCTAAGCAACAGTTCCCAATCGTAGTCATTTGCGCGGCAGCACAAAAGTACGTAGTCGTCATTGGCAACCCGCAGTGGGTGTCATTCTTAACAGCGTCGGCCAGCCCGAGTGTGAACACTTGGTGTTGCAGGGATAGTGGGCAGTCCTGATGAGGACGCCTCTGCACACCAGCTCAGGACCGAAACGCTGGAGACGTGAACCGGTTTGCCCAGATATGGCAAAGTAGAGGCTCTTTTTGTCCCAATACCTGGTGCTTCTCCAACAGAAACAAGCTGATGGGTTCCTGGCGGCGTGTCGTTGACATTATTTTTGCCCCTCCTTCAGAGAGCGGTTCCGCGAGGAGCTGTGGTCAGCTCTCGAGCATGGCCGTTGTGTAAGGCATAACGAGTCTGAACGGGTTTTAAAGCCGCAAGTAAGGCTGCTCCCCGTAGCGCTCTCCCGTGAGGCTTCTTCGGATGCTTTCACTGCGCTTCGTTTGCAGCATGCGTGCATCCAGTCAGCTCTCTGGCTTCTCAGATGTTGACGCCGGTATTGGCACGGCACTAGGTCATGGTTGCCACTCCTGTTGCCATCCTTGCCATCTCGGAGTTGACGGTTCGACTCCTAACTATTCCTGCAGGAGGAGCGAGCAGGATGAGCGAGCAGGAGGAGGAAGACAAACACCAGCCGAGGCAGGCACAAAAGGACCTTTTTCTCCCCGCTGCGCGCGGCACACTCTAGCAAGGAGGCCAGAGGAACACATGGACACAACTGCCGCCGCCGCCGCTGAGGGCTCACGGCTCTGTGCTGTTTTCGCTGTCTAGGCAGAGGCTTCCGAACGTTTGATGTTTCTGGCTACGCCTCCGGAAACCTCCAGGGACCCCTCCTGCTTGCGCTTGGGCTCGCGCGGGCGCGGGCGCCCGAGCAAGAGCCCCAGCCCGAGCCCCGAGCCCCGAGCCCACCCAGGCCCGAACGCGTGCCGAGGCCCGAACCCGAGCCCTCCCCGCATCCCCGGGCGGCGCTCTCGGCGCCGACTCGCCTGCGCGGTTCGCGCGCCCAGGGGCGTGTGGGGGAGGCAGCCCCGGCACCGGCGGGGAAGCTATCCGGCGGACGTCCGCAGTCTGTGCTCGTGTGCTCTTCCGCCCTCCCGCTCGGCTTGTGCGCTTCAGCTTCGCCCCAGTTGCTGCAGGCCTCTCCCCTGTCCCTCGTCGCTCCTCCTCCAGAGGCCCTGGCCCCTCTCCCCCTCCTCCCTCGTCCGCCCTCCGTCCTCGCTCCCCCGTCCGTCTCCTTCTCCTCCTCCTCCCTCCTCCCTCCCTTTCTCCTCCCTCCCTCCTCCATCCTCAATGCTCCTCATCCTCCCTCCTCCTCCCTCCTCCCTCCTGCTCCTCCTGCTCCTCCTCAGTCTCCTCCTCACTCGAATCTGAGGGGTCGCGGCTGCTTGGCCCGAGCGTCGAAGCAGTTCGACTTACTGCATGAAGAGTAAAAGCCCCGCAATCAACACCTTTTTGCCGCCATTTCTTTTCTCGTATCGCTTCCCCCTGCAATTATATGGTAGCGGAGCTGGGAACGATCCCATCTCGCGATCCACGGAACGTGCGAAGAGTGCGGTGTGGACGCACATTCGCATTTACCGTCGCCCCCGCATCGGTACCATCCTCCATTCCTTGATTAGCCTGTGCTTATGGCTGTTTTGCAAGCCAACCGGCAACTCGCGTCGGACACCCATCCCGACTGCGAGGGCAACAGCAGAAGGCGTAACCGCGAAGAGGAGCGAATCGCCGACAGGAACGCCACGACGTTCCTCGACCCATCGCAACCCCACAGGCACTGGCCGCAGTGTCGCGTCGGGCATGAGTGCGATGCTCCATCCTGGGCTAGCGACATGCTTCAGTACGTGTGCGATAGTGCTGGCTGTTTTTGTGAGCCCGTCGCACCACCCGCGCAGAACCTTGCAAGTCAGTGTGCCAGTTTCACCGGCTTCGGCTTCATCTACGGTTGACAACGGCATCATCATGGTCCCCCCGCAGTTTTACGTGGCGTTCGTCACTGCGCAGGCACGAGTCCCAAGGCGCCTACGCAGCCATCGTCGCGGTGAAGTATTATCGAGGAAGATATCCATCTTGACGCCCTGGGGCAGCAACCTCGCGTTCTTCGTAGCCGTCCTGTTCTGGCTCACAGGCGTGATGCCTGGTGGAGTTGGCCCACGGGACGGCGGCGGCCGCGGTGCCATCACATCCCTCCAGCCGCCCCCATGGTCACCCACGTGGTCCTGCGCGTGATTGTCCATACTTATCAGCGATTTGTCAAGCGGTTCTGCCCGTGACAGACCCTGATGCTTCTGGCTGCTGCTTGCCTGCCTTGACTTCTTGCACTGTGGGGGAGGTAGAACAGCTGCTTTCCTCCTCTCACCATGTTCATGTAATTTCAGACTGAGCCTGACGTTCGGCCCTTCACCACCCGACTGCGAACGGCAGTTTAAGGGGGGATTGCATAACGAACGCCATGTTCCACGTCCGGCGCTACATTGGCTCAAGGTAGCGCTACCCTACTTGCCTGCCTTCCGATTGTAAGGCGCAATAGAACCTAAATGCTGGATAAAGGCCACATCCTCTGAATGTTCACCATCGTCTCCAATGCCATATCTCTTACCTCCCGTCCTGCTTGCCATCGAGGCAAAAGCTATGGGAAACCTTGATGCATCTGCGACGTTATCCGAGGAAACAGGGTCTCAGCTCATTACCTTTAGAGGCTCACCACCGAAAACCTCACCCCAATAGACGGGAGCAGCGGAACGGCGCCAGCCATTCAGAAGTCAGGGCCCCGAGGCAGCAAGCAGTAGGCAGGACGATTTTCGGTCCTGACAGATGATCACGGCGCCGCCGTGGGCGGCGGCTTCCTTTGCAGAAATCCAGAGACGAGCCGGCTGAGCGACAGGCGAAGCGATGAACTCGCTCTGGACTCACAATCCCCAATACCGAGGAGGAGGCAGAAAGGTACGAAGACGAAAGAGGGGAGGGAGGGAACAGGGAGAACTTGAGACGGAGAACACATGCATAACACGTTATACAGACGGCGCTTCAGCTGCTCCCCGCCCCCCCCCGATGTCCAAAGGAAATGTCGGGGAGGGGGAAGGGGTGAGAGGTGGAGGCCCGAAAAACTCATTGTATTTTATACAACACACATTTAGAGGCTCACCGCCGAAAACCTCACCCCAATAGACGGGAGCAGCGGAACGGCGCCAGCCATTCAGAAGTCAGGGCCCCGAGGCAGCAAGCAGTAGGCAGGACGATTTTCGGTCCTGACAGATGATCACGGCGCCGCCGTGGGCGGCGGCTTCCTTTGCAGAAATCCAGAGACGAGCCGGCTGAGCGACAGGCGAAGCGATGAACTCGCTCTGGACTCACAATCCCATCACACCGCTGGAACGCACAGCGCCTGGATCATGTGGCACAGGGCTCTGGGTGGGCGGGATTGCCACATTAGCCGTAGTCGATCTGCCTCCGACTCGCAATAATCGATTGTGCATTAGAAGTATGTGATGATTGAGCTGATGCATTTACTCTCGCGCCTTCTCCGGGCGCGGCGCCTGCCTGGCCAGGAGCTCCCGACCGCGCGCCATCGCGGCGGCAGGCACGGCCGCCCTCGCTGCCACCAGGGCGTGCGTCTTCATGTAGCGCAGCACCGACTTCTCCGAGGCCCAGCGGCCGCGCCGCTGGATGGCCCACACCGTCCTGTAGCCCTCCGCCGCGTCGTGGCTGGGGCCCGAGTGCCTCGCGGAGTGGGCGGGGAAGGCGGCGATGCCGATGTCGTCGCTGGCCTTCCGAAGAGCACGGCGGTAGGCCTCCACCGAGCAGCCGAACGCCAACTCGCCCGGCTTCTTGGCGGCCTTGCGCGCCCGAAGCATGGTGGCGACGTGCGGGCGGTCGATCAGCACGCCCTGCCTCACCCCGGTCTTGGTGCGCTCGTTCCGCTCCTGCACCCCGAGCTTGATCGCAACCACGTCCTCATCGGCGTCCACGATGTCCTCGACTCGCAGCGCGAAGACCTCAGCCGAGCGGAGGTAGGCGTCGACCGCCAGCGCTGCTGCATCTGCGGCCTCCACGGACCCGGCCAGCCTCATGGCCTCGTCCAGGGCAGCCCACACCTCGAGCGGCTGAGGCCCACCCTCGCCGGCCACGCGCATCTTGCGCCACGCCCGCAGAGCCCGATTGGCGCGCGGGAGGCCCGTAGACAGCTCGGGCCAGACGAACGCCATGCCATGCACCACGTAGTCGCCCCTGTGCGGGCCCACCTCCTCGTCCTCGACCAGGTAGTCTAAGTAGACCAGGATGGAATTGTCGATCTCCTCCCTGCTCATCATGGGCAGGTCGAGGTCCAACGCGAACTCCAGGAAGCGCCGCACGTTGGGCACGTAGCAGTTGAGGGCCGTCTTCTTGGCCACTGAGTAGGGCAGAAGTGACAGCCCCGCCTCCGAGGTCTGCATGGGACCAGAGGGTCCAGCTCTCTGACTCTCATTTCGTCGGTTGGTGGCGTGCATCCGCCGATCCTGGGAGTGGTGACGCAGGCGACCATCGGCGAGCGGCATCCCATGGCAAGCCCGAGGGAGGAAGCAGCAGGCCAAGGCGCTGAGGCTGGACCCGGAGACGGTCAGCCTGAGGCCTCCAGGAAGGAGGCGGGCAGCACGTCGATGTCCCGGATGTCGCGCCGCCTCCGCTCGAGCGTCTCCTTGATCAGCAGCTCCACGGCCCTCTCTGTGAACTCCGCCTCGCGCCGCTCGCGCCCGTCCAGCATAGCGTCCAGGTGGCGCTCCGCCAGCGCGCGGCAGAGCTCGGACGAGTAAGCCTGGGCTACCCGCGTCCTGAAGCGGCCAGTCTCGTCCTTCCCGCACAAGCTCGCCATGTGGTTCTTGTGAATACATGGGCGAATGAACCGCTGCAGGTGCTTGGCTGTTCCCGAGATGGTGGTCAACTTGAGAGCGGGGCAGCCCCACATGCACTGAGGGAAGGTCACCCTGTAGGCACCGAGAGTCTCCTCCCACTCCAGCACCTCGGGCGTCGCGAAGATCGAGGGAAACGGAGGCTTCCCCGGGTCGGCAGGGTGCTCCAGCGAGACCGAGCCACCTCGGAGGCCAATCGCCCTGAGCACGCGCAGGCTGCTCAACAACTGCGCCGAGCCCATCTCCACCTTCCTCAAGTCGGCGCCGTGAAGACCGGGACGGCCCCAAGGGTGCGAGCGGAGGCGCACAGGAGGAGGTCCTCCTGGCTGGAAGCGCACCCTCGACCACGTAGCGCACGAGGGCCCAGCATGGCCTCCATCCACCTCCAGCTCGGCGAGCAGCTCCAGCCTCCGCACGTTCACCTCCTCGGACAGGTCGAACTCCGGCCCGAACCCGATGTCCACGTTCGTGCACTGCATCACATACCCCCGACGGGCCGCGAGACGCGCGAGCCAGAACTCCAAGTCGCCCGAGCGCGTGTGGCCGCTGCAGAGGTGCAGGAAGCGCAGCACCTTCGCCCTCACGGGCCAGCCCAGCCGCAGCGGCGCGAACGGATCCTCCTCCGCGATGTCCGCCAGCTCCTCGATCACCTGACCCGTCTCGGCGGGCAGCACGGTCTCGCCCTGCAGTCGCTCCTTCGGCGCCTGCCCGATCGGGAAGCCCCGGCTGGGGCCGTCGCTGTGGTTGCGGTCGGACGGCACCCAGCGCCAGTACTCCCTCATGCCGCAGCCCAGGTCGATCGCGGCCATCCGGCGGCACAAGATGAGGATCGGCTTGCTGGCTGACCTGCCCTTGCTGAAACCGCCCAGGCACACCATGGAGTCGGTGATGCGAAGGTGACGGCGGCCCCAGCTCGCACGCGACCGAGCGGAGTGCCTCACCGCCGCCAAGCCCGTCCTCATCTCCAGAAGGTTGATGTGCTCCTTCTCGTCCCAGCGCCAGCGGACCACCTCCTTCCACCTCGACATGTCGTCCCAGCAAGCGTGCACCGGAGGGGCTCTCACGCGCGTCCCGAGCTCGACGCCCTCGGCGACTCGCCGTCACGCCTCGCCTTCTGCCCAAGAGTCCGCCGCCCAGGAAGACGAGATGCCAGTCCAGACGGTCCAACCTCCTCTGACAGCAAAGCGAGCCTCGCGACGCATCTCCTGGGTGTCGGCCTGGGCAGAGATGATAGCCCCGCCGTAGAGGCTCGCGTCGAACATCGTCACCGTGGGGTCCCAGGGCATGGCCAGGTCGACAGACACCAACGGCACCACCGCCGCTGCCAAGGCCAGCTCGCGAAGGACCTCGTCGGGCAGCCGACGGCGGGGGCCCCCTCGGAACTCCATGCACCAGTGGTAGACCTCCGAGAAGACGCTCAGGGCCCCTCGAGTGATCAGAAAGCCCCAGGACAGGATGCCCACGATCTTGGCCACCGCGTCCGGGAACTCCGACCGCTGCCTGAGGATCTCGCTCACCCCGGCCACGGCCAGCCACATCTTGTCCTGGTTCGGGGCGAGGCGGGTGCCCACAAAGTCCCCGCCGATCATCCGAGCCTGCCCCGAGCAGTCGTCCTTGTGCACATTGAAGCCCGCGGCGTTCACCAAGTACTTGGCTCCCAACCAGATGTCCCTGACCTGCGTGGGCGGCTCGGCGTCGGCGACGGGAGGGTAGTCCACCCCGATGATGCCGAAGTCGTCGATGTACTCGTAGTGGGCCGCGGGAACCTCTCGACTGATCAGGGGCAGCGGACCGCCTTCTGCCAGCCGCTGCTCCTCGGCGAGAGCGGGCATGCCCAGGGAGGGACCAGAGTTGAACAGGTCCTCCATGGTCGTCTGGGCCATCCAGCAGGCCCAAGAAAAGCCCATCAGCGCCACCCGCGCACCAACGTGCTCGCCCAACCCACTCAGGCAGGCGTCCGAGGGGAGAACGTCGAGAAGCTCCGAAGCCCGGACCCCAGGCAGCACGAAGTAGGGCGCGATCGCCTCGCCCAAGTCCAACGTGTAGTAGAAGTCGGGGAGGTCGCCAGTCCCAAAGACCATCCGAGCGCCCTCCTCCATCATCTCCTCGGACACGTCCAGGAACGACATGGCACTGACACCGCCCATGGCACACCACGGCGGCGACCGCCATCGTAAGTTGGAGCGCCGCTGGTCGAACACCAAGCGCAACGACACCAAGGGCTCGCCGTCCACGATCTCGGCCTTCTTCACCACACAGAAGAGCCCGACCTCGTCCACCTTCGACTCGCAGCGGCACAACATCCCGGCCAGAGCCATGCGCCTGGCCAGCATCAGCATGTCCTTCTTTCGGCGGAAGCGCGGGTCCACGTAGTTCTTCACCTCCGCGGCCCTGACGCACTCCTCGCCGTCCTCCTTCAGCATCTCCCTCCGGAAATCGCCCAGCATCTGAGCCACTCTCGGCGACGCAGACCTCGCGCTCACCGGCATTGAGCCCGGAGGGGGAAGAGCGACCCGCTCCCAATGGGCGGGAAACGTTTCGCCCCGGTCTGGCAGTCGCACCTGTCCACCAGCACACCTCCTCCGCAACTCGGCCAACCGTTGGGCATAGGTCGACCGGGATTGGTTCTCCGCCGCCGTAGCGGCGGGACGCAGCCGCAGGATCGCGGCTCCTCGCTCGGGCGTCGAGGGGGGCGGTGGTAGGCGACGTACCTCCTCCAGCACACGCCTCGAGAGGTCCCCGTCCATGGTGCTGGGCAGTGGCCCCTGACCCCAGATCTCCCCAGGATGCAAGAGCTCGTCGCCAAACGTCCCACGGTAGAGCTGGCGAAGTCCCAGCAAGCACCGATTGGCCCGCTGCGCGATGTCCAACTCCTCCCGCCAGCGTGAGAGCACCCGCCGTGAGCTCGACGTGGGCCTCTCCGGTCGTGGAATGAGCACCACCTCCGACAGGATGTCCCGCCTCCTCGACATGAATAGCCCAATTCGTCGTGCAGTAGATCACCTGCTGGAACCCGACGCTCTTGCCGAAGTCCCACAGACTCGAAAACAAGAAGTAGAGGAGAAAACTTGACCGGCCACGGAGACGGGGCCGCTCGCGTGCAGGGGCTCCTGGCGGACCTTCGCCAGTCAGCCCCGTATGGCGTTCTCTGGGGCTCACGGCGGGCTCGCACCCCCGCCGTCCAGGTGCGTGCGCGCCTTGATCAACTGCGCGTCCCGACCCATGGCCTTCTTCACCTCCTCCTCCGCACTCATGACCCTGATCGTGCTCTCGTCCGCCAGCTGCGGGTCCAAGCGCCGCGCCGCCTCCCAGTCGACCTTGGACTTCCAGCTCTTGGAGTCCTTGGGCCTGCTCCAATCGTCGCGGCAGTGCACGTTGCGGTAGGCCCTCACCAGCGCGTAACCCTTTCGCACCAGCCTCTCGAAGCTCACCTGATTCAAGAGCCCCTTCTGGCGGTCCGTCATGAGCATGGTGTCCACGGCCGCGAAGGTCGCGATCATCTCCCGAGCGGTGTTGCAGTCGGTGAGGCCCCGGTCCCGGATGTAGTCCCTCGCCCAGGCCTCCGCCGTCTTCCCCGTCGAGTAGACCTCCGAGAGCACGTCCGGGGCGATCCTCTCTCTGTAGCCCTCGGGCATCTTGGTCGCCCACTCTGACGCTGGGCACTCCTTGAAGTCCTCCAGCTGCTCCAAGAAGACCTGCTGCGGCATCTGAGCCTTGAACCTCATCCGCTTGATGGCCAGGGGCACCGCCTCGGCCGGCTCCGAGGCCGCACGCTTGTCCGGAGTCTCCATCAGCACCGTCGCGTCCGCGCGCGCAGGCGAGGTGGGGCCCTCCGCCGCGCCCGCGGGGGTGGCAGGAGAGGGTGCCGCGGCTGCCGCAGGGGGCCCCGCCGCCGCACCTCCCTGCAAGCGAGCCTCGAACTCGTCGAGGCGACTCAGCATGGACTGGATCTGCAGCTGGTTGGCAGCCGCCGCCTCGGCACCGCGGTCTACGCTCGACGACACCATGGCCGAGCGCCTCAGCCCCCGCGCACGTTCGGCGATCCTGATCTCGTTCAGCTCCGCCGCCATCGCTCTCTGGGACTCGGCCAAGTCGTCCAACTGGGCCACGAGCGCGGCGTCGGACGGAGCCGCCGCGGGCGGCGGAGCCGCGACCGGCGGTGGCAGCGGAGGCGCCACGGCCGCGGCTCCTCCAACGTCTCCGACCACCGACGATGCAGAGGACGAGGCCACTGATGAATGACCTGCCTCCTCCGCCTCCTGCATCTCGTGAGCTCCCCAGATCATGAGCAGGATGAGGGCCAGCAGCAAGGCCGCCCAGCGCCGCAGCGGCATGAGCTTTCGAGCCCACTCCAACCACTCGCCACCGTAAGACACCCACTCCTGGATTGTCTCGGACGACTCGATGAGCGTGTCCCTGCAGGTCACGATCCAACTCACGAAAGCGAGCCAGGTCTCCACGATCATGTCCACCACCCCCAGGTACTTCAGAGCCTCGAACAGCACGAAGCCCAGCGCCAGCAAGCCCAGCAACCGATACGGCGAGCGCAGCGCCCACCGCACCGTACGCAGCGAAGAGCGCGCAGAACTGGCCACGGCATAGGCCACGTTGACGGCGACAGCCTGCTGAGCCTGACGCCCCGGTCGGTACAAGTCCAAAGGTGGAATGGTCCCTGCTCGCAGTCCGTCCGTGGCCTGCTGCATGAAGCTGTCCTTCTGCACCTGGCTGAGTGCTGGGAGAGCCTGCCAGCGGATGCCTGGCACTGGGTCGGCGAAGACCGTCGTCTTCGCAGTGATCGTGATGGTCCCCATTGATAGGTCGGGCAACAGGGCTGCCCAGCAATTTCCTGTCTTCCGTCGCACAAGGAAGATCTCCACGCCATCCGTCGCGCTCCGGCGATAGTAGCGCCTGCTCCATACCTCCACTGGCATCACCCGCTCGGGCGTGAACTCCTCACCCTCCAGCGGCTCCTCCTCGGGGCTCGGCGGGTCGCGGACCACCGTCACGAGCGCCCAGAGGAACGCCAGGAGCGGCCCGCCGCAGCGCGCCGTCGCGAGGAGTCGACCCCCGCCTTCTGGCAGGCTCGGCGCCTGCCCAGCAAGAAAGACCGGGAGCTCCTCGCACTCCGAGCCCACCAGCTCCCACGGCGAGCCAGCAGAAGATATCGCGCTGCCCGCGCGGGAAGGAGATGTCGAGCCGACTGAATCCAGCTCAAGCGAAATAGGCATGAACGCTTGAGCCCACAAAGAACTTGAGACGGAGAACACATGCATAACACGTTATACAGACGGCGCTTCAGCTGCTCCCCGCCCCCCCCCCCCGATGTCCAAAGGAAATGTCGGGGAGGGGGGGGGGGTGAGAGGTGGAGGCCCGAAAAACTCATTGTATTTTATACAACACACATTATGGAGCCCTTGGCCCTTGCTCTTCACTCACGGACCCTTCCAGCCGACCTGCTTGCCGCCATCGGCGTTGCCCGCCGCCTGCTTCTCCGCCTGCGGGTCCACCGCGACTGTTGCCTTCGACGGGGCCGCCATGGCTGGTGGAGCGGCAGCATCCTGCTGCGGGCCCGCGATCTGCGCAATTGTCGGCGTGTCCTGTGAAGGGCGCACCCCGTCACTCCATCGGCCTTCATCCACTTTTCAGTCCTCCTCATCCCTCATCCCCCTCTATCTTTAACCCCCCACCTCCTTCTTTCGGCCCCATCCTGCCCCCTCCTCAACCCCCTCATCCTCCTCCTCCTTCCCTGTTCCTCTTTGTTCATCCTTCGCGTCTCCTCCATCCGACTACTTCTAAACAGTGGTAGGAGGAGATGTGCCCCCGAGTGTCTTGTTTGCCTTCGACTGAGAGCTCCTGCCAAACTACGCTACATCAAGGTTTCCCGCAACCCAAAAGTGACTTGCAGGCCATTGGCCGTCTCGGTCCATTCGTCATGCTTCACCCACGGCGGCCCCATGCTCATGCACCAGAACATGTACTTCGATGCCTGGGCCACGCCAGGGCTGTTCGGCATCGGGCCCCCAGTGGAAAGATGCCACGGTGGATCGGTGTCGCTTCTGTTGGTGTTGGTGTTGGTGTTTGTGTGGTTGGTGTTGTCGTTGTTGTTGTTTTTGCTGTGGTTTGGTGCTGGTGTTGGTGTTGGTGTTGGCGTTAGCGTTGGTGTGGTTGGTGTTTGTTGTTGCTGCTGCTGCTGTGGTTGGTGCTGGTGCTGGTGCTGGCGTTGGCGTTGGCGTTGGTGTTGGTGGTGGTTGTTGCTGCTGTTGTGGTTGGTGCTGGTGTTGGCGTTGGCGTTGGTGTTGTTGTTGGTGGTGGTGGTGGTGTTAGTGGTGGTTGGTGCTGGTGTCGGTGGTGGTTCGTGCGTTGAAAAGTACTCGTTCGTTTTAATACGCGCGTGTGCTGCGTAGGATGACGTGGGCTGCATCTTGGGTGCGAACGGCCAGAATATGTTCCAGGGGGGCGCCGCCGACCATCCACCCCTGCCGCCGCCCTCGAAGGTGGGCCACGCGCCGGATCGCCAAGTACTAGCCGCTCGTCCAGTAGATCCGGCGCTCTTCCGTCATCTCGATGTACTTGGTGGTTCGATGGGAGCGCTGCTGCCAAGCCCAATCTAGCCGAACAGTTGTTTTGGCCGAGTCTCTTTTCACGAGGTCGCATTTGTCGCGAAGGTTGTTCTCGTTCGCCGCCGGCGTTCGCTGCCACTTCCCCGCTTTCTCAAGTCTTTTCTTCCCGTCGATGCTGATCAAGAACCCCTGTTTGGCCAGCGTGTTCCAGAAGTCGAAGTCCTTCTTTTCGTGAAGCTTGAGTTTCGTTGTTTGCTTCTCCACGTCGAACACATGGCCCCCCACTGCTGGGTCGGAAGGCCACTCCTTCGCTGCCCCCCGCTGCTCGCCCGTCAGCTCGAGCAGGCGCTCGAAGGTCGGGCCCGCGAAGATGTTGACGATCTCCTGCGTCAAGACGAACTCATCGTGCTCGGTGAATTTGACACCTGAGCCGCAGAGTTTGCCGACGAAGCCTTCCTTGATTCTTCAGGCTTACGCCACATCCGCCGACCCCTTGATTCACTCGCAGCCTTGGAGGCTTCTTGGGGCAGCTGGGGGTTGTCTGGGGGTATGCTGCTTCGTGGACTCTAGGGCCATCTTGGGGCTTTCTTGGACCTCGCGTGGCGGCTCCCTTTCGGTGACTCGTGGCCTTCATGGACTGTTTGGGGAGCTCCGTTGGGCCGTCCTGGTTCGCTGTGGCGCTCTTTGGCCCCCAATGGCGCGTTCGCGCGGGGTCGTATGGGACCAGGGGGGGGGGTTGAACATCCGGGTCGGGGCCCCGGGGAGGTGGGATTATTGGGCGGGAAGAATCTCACGCGCCTGGAGACCCGCAAGGGGTTTCCTGTACGCGTAGTTCGCGGAGGAGAGGAGAGGCGGGGATGAGGCGAAATAGCCTTTTTGCATCCCCCCTTTCCTCTCCAGATCAAACGGACGGGGCTTGAAGGGGAGGGGTTTGCGGAGGGGGGGGCATCTGATGCGCCGATGACACTGGAAGGTGTTCGCGGATGTTTTCAAGACGTCGTAGGTCTTGGAATTGGACGTCGGAGGCGTGGGTATGCATGCGCCTGCTGCTCGCGATCACCTCCCGAGTAAAATCTGCTAAAAATCGGTCCCCGGTCCGTTCTAGGGTTTTTTTGCGGTCCTCGTGTGGGTTTCTACTGCTTCGTCTCCTTTTGTTTCTGTTTGTCGCTTCTCGGTGTGCCGGTTTTGGGTCAGTCCGTGCTCGGTGTCTGTCGTCTCGGTTTGATGTCGGACTCTCAGCTTGGTAGAACGGCGCAACGCGGAGCAGGACAGCGCGCATCTGTGGCGCGGCGCTGCCACCTTCGATGCGTTCAGCGTCGCCATTTCCCGCTACTCGAATTTACGCGCCTTCAGACATCACCATGTCTGGCTGTCCTGCACCTCTTTTGGGTTTCGTGGGCCCATCAGGTTGACAGCCTTGGGCTCCAGAGGTGGCTTCTGGAGGCTGAACCCCGGGTTCGTTCCTGAGCGGCGGGGGCCCGAGAGCGGCCCCTGGAGGCCGAAAACAACGCGGGACCGGGATGGAGGAGGAATCGGAGGAGGAGGAGGAGGAGGAGGAGGAGGAGGGTTGAGGATGGGGAGGGGGGCGATTGAGGAGGGAGCAGGAGGGAGGAGGAGGAGGAGGAGGAGGAGGAGAAGAAGGACGAGGAGGAGGAGGAGGAGGAGGAAGAGTTGGAACAGGCGGGTGAGGGGGGGGGGGGGGGGGAACAATAGACTGGGGGCCCATGTGGAGAAACATTCCGCCTCGCTCAAGGGTGCCTTAGGTTTTTGTCGATGTTTCTATGAAGGAAACCGCCGCGTCCCCATACCGAAAATCGAGGGGCATCCTGGGGTTTCAGGGTTCTGTTTCTTGCGGAAGGCGTCTTGTGATGGAGCCCCCACTGCATTCAAAAGCGCGACGAGAACTCGAGATCCTGCGCGAGCTCCAGCGAGACATCGACGACTACGAGGACGAACGCTGCCGAAGGTTGACGACGACGACGCCGACGACGGTGCTGACGACGACGATGATGACGACGACGACGACGACGACGACGACGACGACGACGACGACGACGACGACGACGACGACTACGACGCTCTCCCTCCCCCACCGCAGCCACCCCAGACTTGGTCTACGATTTGTTTGCCTGATTTTGTTTTTCCGTTGCGTTCGGTCCCCAGCGGCGGTTTTCCAAACCTGGGGCCTTGAAAAAAAGACCCCGGGTGCAAAAGTGCTTCGGACGGACCCCAGGAAGGGTTCGAGAGCCGATTTTGAGTAGAGTTTCCTTCCCCGCCGCAGCCGCTTTGGGTCGGAGTGCCCAAAGCAGCCCGCAGGCCTTGGGAGGTCAGAAACTGAGGGTTCATTAATGCGGGGAGGGCGATCGAGACTGCAGGAAAGGGTGGGCAGGCAAAAGGGCTTCGTTGCGCCGGGTCAAGAGGGCCCTTGCAGGGACTATTTTCTGTCGTGTCGATCGCTCGGCCTGCTTGGTCCTACCCAGACATCCGACGCCGCGATGTTTTCGGCGAGGTCGCCCCCCAGAGATTTGGACCTTTCCCCTCAGGGCGATCTTTCATCCCGAGTTGTTTTTTCATTGTCCCGGGCCCGCCGAGGGTTACCAGAACTTGAGAGCTGCACCCCCCCCCCCGTTTTTTTTTTTTTTTTTTTTTTTTTTTTTTTTTTTTTTTTTTTTTTTTTTTTTTTTTTTTTTTTTTTGTTTTTTTTTTTTTTTTTTTTTTTTTTTTTTTTTTTTTTTTTTTTTTATTTATATATATATATATATATATATATATATATATATATATATATATATATAACTTATTTAGTTGTTCTGTCTTTCTTTATTATTTATGTAATTCGTGATTTATGTTTCTTTATGTTCTTCCCCGTGATTTTTGTTTCCCCTTACTTGTTGTTCTCCCTTTTTCATATTTTTTTTTTTGGGGGGGGGCGGCGCCAGAATGTTTGGGTGCCCGGAAACCCGCCGATATGAATTTTCGAATCCGCGGCTTACGAGGTTCTGACCCTTTCCCGATGGGTAGTTTGTCGACCCGGGTTCCGTTTTTGGTCGCGCAAGGGCTTGAGAATGGACCTTGAAGGCCGAAATCGACGAGAAACCGCCGAGACCTGAACAAATCATACCGCGCGGCGGCGTAGTTCCGCTCAGAACAGGCCCCTGGATGTCTCCTGGGGTTTCAACCCATCAGTTTCTCAAGCTGCGTCCAGCCGCGGCGCGCGGCGACGAGGAGGGCCCCCGAAGGCCAGAAAGTCTCGAACCTCGATCCTCGTGGCGACCACCCTGCGAGACATGGAGGGCGGCGCGGGCAGCCCACCCATCCGCGCACAGGCGATCGCGGGCGCGTTTTACCAAGGCACGCAGGAAGACGCTCACGAGTTTTTGATGGAATTGTTGAACCCGGACAGAGCGAAGAAGGCGGCGATCCCCTTCTTGTTTATGAACGCGGAGCATTTAGCGCGCGGCGGCGTTCACTGTTCTGGGCGCCAGAGCGCGGGGGACATGCGGCCGCAAACGTGATTGGCAGTTCCGGTGTTGACGTCTGTCGGCGCTCCGATCACGACCGCGCAAAGCGCGGTAGACCAGGCGCTTGTCGCGCCAGAAGTTGACGGGGGCTATCGCTGGGCCTGCCCGCGAGGATGCGGCCACAAGTATGCAAAGAAACTCGCGTGCGTGTCCAGGACGCCCGGGGCGTTGCGGCTCCAGCTGAGGAGGTGGACATGGGATGCGGCGGCGCGCAGGGAGGTGCTAGTGGGGCACTGCGTCAGGGCGTGTGAGGAAGTTCGCGTCGGAGGAGAGAGGTACGTGCTTCGCAGCTGCGTGTTCCACCATGCCGGATCCGCGCGCAGCGGGCATTACACGGCGTCGTGCGCGAGCGCCGTGGGCGGAGGGGAAGCGCGGTTGCTGCGTGACGACGAAGCTGTGACCGTCGCGCGCCACCCAGCAGAGACGGCGGAGTGGCAGGCGGACGAAGGTGCGAAGGTGCACATGCTCCTGTACCAGCGCGCGACGAAGACGAGGGGGGAAACGGCTCGAAGGCGCGGCAGAGCAAGCACCGCAGAGAGCGCGGGTGACCCCGGCGCGAGCGCCTCGGGCGCGCTGGCACCGCCACCAACTGGGAATGAGCGCGGGGGACAGGTTGCCGAGGCGCGCAAGCGGCGGCGATCTGGCGCGAACGTGCGCGACAGCGGCAAACCGAGAAAAGCTCTGGTTGCCGCGTGGAGTGGCGGGGGGTGTAGCGATGGGTCCGCGTGCGCTGCCGACTGCGCGGCGCGCGCCATCGGAGCGGCAGTCGGTGGCGATGCAGAAGCGGCTGGGGAGCAAGGGAAGGAGAAGGTTCAATCGGGGAGCGTTGGAGACTGCGCCCCCCAGCGGATGCGATGCAACAGGCTTTCTACAACGTTTGTGTAGACGGAACGTCGAAATATCCACGACGGGCGAGGGAAAACCTTGTGGCA